TTGTTGCGTGACTTTTGACACCAGTGCATTGACAACCTTACAAGAGAGTCGTTGTTCCCGTGTATTGTTAGAATAACAAAAGAAATCGAGTGTCAATACATTTGCTAGTGCGCAACGACGGCCATGTTGACAGCACGCGATCGTAGATACACGTATGTTTCTGTACTCATACATGATATAGGATAAATTAGTTACATGTTTGAGTGTTAATGTTGCTCGGTTGTCATGGAAACGATGTGAGTATCTTTCAGATATAAGGGAGAGAGTAAGTAATCAGGTAAGTTCAGACTCAGTTGACTGATTTCAGGCGGTGTTCACTCTAACTTATATTGCCGACATTTTGAAGTAGTCAAGCGTTTGAATGCACATTCGAGGGGGGGTAAGCAACATATAGACGCCATTTGTTTCTTTAACAGCCGTATTAGATAAAAGGTGACTATGTTATGTCCCGGAGAGTATATCGTTATCTGGCTGGGCAGCAGATGGAAAATTGCTCACACACACACCAAATGTGACAAGATGTTATTGAAGTTCAACAACACGCAGTGAAAATGTTTATCATTTGAAATGTGTTGCTGTTGCAAGATAATACCCACAGAAAGTAGCTTTGGCGCATACGTATGTCCAGCCCCCCCCCCCCGAGGTGGTTGGAAATTTCCACATTTCATAATAAATGTATTACAACATCACTGAAATGAGACGAAACCCAGACCCGTTTTCCTAAATAACGTGTGTATCTTCTTTAAAAGTTTTCAAATCTGTGTTCACTTCTAATGTTTGCTTTTTGAAACTGTAATTTGCCGTTAGAGATGCGACTTTGATGACCCATAAGGTAGTGCGTTAAAATGGGATGTGCACCGAGTTCAACCAGGAATATCACCACTCATGGTGTGAGCACACACAGTCGTACAGATAATTCAACAACAAATTTGACAAACTCAGTAATCTTGAGAAAGAAGATAACGTCTTTGCAGAAAAAGACGATAGTGACTATAGCCTAATCGTCGAAGATCAGGCCACCATCAATTCCATGCTTGATTTTTTAGAAAATCAGACCGACTATGCAACTCAAGAAATCATGGAAAGTTATTTGTTACGGTTATCGATGTTTTACAATCCGAAAACTGAAGGCAAGAAAACAAAACAGTTAGCCGATTACTTGGCAGACCGATATCCGTCGTTGTACATCCATATAATAGATCAACTGCACAAACGTAATAATATATTTAACTGGGAGAAAAATAGCGATATTATGGCCCTCTATTCATGCTACTGTGCGACGTCTGTACTCTGGAATACATGTGATGCCTCGCCGAAAATGTGTAAAGAGGTTGGCAAAGCTGGAATTATTGCCATCATAGTTGAAGATCTAAAAGCCTTCAAGGCGTACTCAACATCTACAAGTACACATGAACTGACGGATCGTTACTTGGGCAGCCTCCTAGCAACAACGCACAACATCGTACGTAATTACGATGGCAACCGCCATTACGCACGCGATGCGGGTGCCGTGAAACTTCTACAGCACTACCTTGCATTGGAGAAGATATTGTACAGATCGTATGCACTGTTGTCGCTGTCTTACATCGTGAACGAAAAGGAGAACGATAAGATAAATACTGGAAATGAAAACATTCAGTTCTTTGTCGACATGTTGGAGTCCGCAGTAGAAGCCACAGATCATCGGGAGACGGTCCATAACGGGTTTCACACAACAGAGCTGGTCGCTGGCATGACAAAGTTAGCAGTCAATGACTCCAACAAGGTAAACCATCTATTATTCTGTATCCATTGTATGGACAGCATATAGTATCAATATTAATCAGATTTATATCACAATGTACACAATACTGTGGGGCATCCCCCCCCCAAACGCATGACGATTCATATCATCTGGATTACGCATAGCTTCTCTGCGATTTACGCTCCGTAATTTTAAGCGAAGCTTGGCCCCCAATACATTTTGCTGGATCCGCCACTGCGTCAGTATAAAGAGGTGGGCAGTTAGAAACCCGGGGTGGCAGAAAAAATAGTAGCAAAATAGTTTTTTCTCAGTTCTTGTGCTAAATTTATCAGCTCAATTTGTTGTATTGATCTCTGCAAGTCTTTTGGTTGTTTTGTCTGTGCTATTTCTCCAAATTCTGCCATAGTTCCTCCCTCACACACGCGTTTCTGTTGTTCTAACCCCGGCTAATTGTCAACTTTGTACTTTTTAGATGAAATTAGTGGAGCAAGGTATACTGCCGCCTCTGTATAAACTATTACAATCTGACTGTACACACGACGAACAACGTCTAGCTGCTTGTGCACTGTGGACTCTCGCCTTTAAGAAAGAAAATGTTGATAAAATACGGAAGTATCCAGGTGTAGTTGACGGTATGTTTATTCTACTCCTGTCTACATTCCAAGGGCAATGAGTACTTCCACGACGTCAGTTTCAGTGGGATATATAGTGTTTTGTTATGCTGTAATAAAGCATCGGAGGAGGGGGGGGGGTAATCTGCAAGTTATTCAGAGAATATCGGGAACTATTTCTACTCAATAATTCGTCAAATGATATATCAATCGCCCTGCGAACAAACTGCCATGGTGAATTTATTTGACATTGAATGTGAACACATGTGCATTCACATAATATTTTTATTTATTTATTTATTTATTTATTTATTTATTTATTTATTTATTTATTTATTTATTTATTTATTTATTTATTTATTTATTTATTTATTTAATGAGTTTAATTTATTTCTCCATTTCAGCTCTTTCAAAACTCCAGAAATCAGCGCATCGCGGAGTTCGTGAAGCGTGTGATGGTGCATTATGGGAATTGGGAGAAACGACTAAAGGGGAAAAACCATTAGATGAAAGCGACAAAAGTCGCCAGGGACACATTATGATAAGTTACAACTGGGATGTTCAGAAAAGAATGATAAAATTGAAAGATAAACTCAAATCAAAAGGGTATAATGTATGGATGGATATAGAGAAAATGGGTGAGTTAGGGAGAAAATAAAAAGAAAGAATCTTTTCTATAAAACGCACCCTCTTGTAGCGAAGCGCTTCCATGTCAGTATATAAGTTTAATCAATATTGTTTGATCTGTCCGTCTCACATCTACGCAATATCGATGACACAGACACGTTTAGAGGCTGAAGGGCATGACTTGTTCGATAGATTCATTACTGAGAAAAAAATCGATTTTATCATAATGAAATCGTAAATCGATCATTATTAATGTTATTAATGCTATGTTTTAATCTACAGGTGGTTCGACCTTAGAAGCAATGGCCAACGCTGTCCAGGGAGCCGACGTTGTTCTCATATGCATGTCAGAAAAATATAAGTTTAGTAATTCGTGCAGATCAGGTAAGGTTTAGCATCAATGATAATTTCTGTTAAATAACACGGTATTTGCAATAATAATTAACAATAGCATTAATTAAATACTGCTAATTAACTAACACTATCATTTGATATACATCTCTACAGAGGCTGAGTACACTTACAAACTTGAAAAACCATTCATACCTCTTAAAGTACAATCCGGATACCAGCCTGATGGATGGTTGGGAATCATGCTTGGTACTAAACTGTATTACGACTTTAGCACGGAGAACAGATTGGAGGAAAATTTTCCTGATTTAGTCAAGGCACTCGGTGATCAAGGAAAACGAGATGAGCTAGCAGTAGCAAAACAAGGTTTGTTTCACTCAATATTGTGAATTTTACAGTACAAGATGAACATTTTACACGTATTACTGTATATATATAATCGTCTTAACTTATGGGAATGCCGAATATCATGCCGAGAAAACAATTCTAGTTTGTTCCGTTTTTCTAGTTAATTCAAGCCTCACGACAATGTTTTTTCGGGTAACGTCGAATGCGAACATTGTGATCACTGAACGTATACCTTGAATGGTCGGTGTTATTGACAAGACATGGCAGTACCTATTGTCTGCGCTGTGTCTGTATTTGGATTTTTAGTATTAAATCCTAAAAAGAAATGAAAGCCAGCAGTGTCAAAGAATGTCAACAGTGTTTAGTAATCTGTGTAAATTATTACTAATTTGTTTCAGAATTTAATACCAATGCTGCACCATCGAGTATAAACATTGGCCCATCGACGAAACCAAATGACGTGAAATCATGGAACAACGATGACGTCAAAAATTGGCTAAGAGACTATGAACTGGGACACTTAACACCGAAGTTTGCAAAATACGACGGCTACAAACTATTGACTATGAAAACACTTTCAATCAAAGCCCCAGAGTTTTTCTATGGATCATTGGACAAAAAACTGGGAATTCGTGATATGTATGATATCGTGACATTTACAGCCGCCATCGAAGAACTGTAAATAGCTGCTAACATAGGAAGTAAAGCACTGAAAAAACTCGCGGTGTAAATACAATGTTAATCATAAGAGTAAGCATATACTGTGTGTGACTTGAATTGCCGCTTATGTTTGGTACAAAGTCGCTTTCTACACAACTCTGCTCGTCTTCCACCCAATTACCGGGTACTCAAACGGCCCCGGGACGTTTAAAGCGTCAATGTCGTAGCGCCGACTCGTGCTCGTTCTTGGTACCATGTTACGTATACAACGCGTGTAAAATGCTGTGTTTGTTAATATGGAATTCGAGAACGCACGCTGCACGGCGTTTTTGTGTGGAAAAATCCCTTAAGGTAGAAGCCTACCCATAAATTAAAAAACCCAGAATTTATTCATTTTGCAATAAATTGTACTCCAAGGCAATATAAGGATATTGACCTAAAAAAAGTTGGGTGTCAGCAGCCTTTTTTTGGAGAAATTGATGGTTTTATTTTAGTGGAAAATCGCCATTTTGACACTATTATAACGCTTTTACCACAGGTTTCTATGGCAGAGATATTATGCAATATCTCAAAATCTAGCCTGTTGACATCGGCTGAAAAAATCATATATTGTTAATGATGGAGTACTTTTTGTTGTTCTGAATTATTTAAAAAATCTAGGTTTTAAAAAGTGTCAAAAAATGCAGTTTTTCTTTAACATTGTGTTCTATAGAAATGTTCTAAAAATAGCAATTTTCAAGAAATATTAGGACGCATTTTTCGAAAAGCACAAACTGTAACACAAAATAATGCTATTTCATTGTACCATGAGACATTAACTTCATGATTGTACATAATAAACTAATGAACATTGTCATGCGATTTATGACCAATTTTGTCAAAAATTATGACTAGGCTTCTACCTTAAATACCAACACCTAATTCCACGAAGAACATAGAACACTTTTCTGGGGTATTTGAAACCAAAAATCGTCATTCCAGCTCAGCAGCCAATTAGCGACGGCCTTACAGTTATATGGCAATTTCGGTTTCAAATACCCCGGCTTAGTGTTCTAGATTGTTCGTGTAATTTAGATGTTCGTATGCAAGCGATTTTCCCCCACAAAAACGCCGAATTCGGTCGAATTTTGTCATCGGTTGGCTTAATATTACCCCAACGGATCGTATTTCTGTGAAAGATTGGCATTTTTTATCTGACTTGTAGGAATCTGAAAAACGCGTTTCACAACTTGTCTCTTATTTAGTTTTATGCTGCATTCAAGATGGCAGCCCCATATAGTAAATATCGTATTTATTTTAATTTCACGTGTTCGCCAGCTGACTGTGTATCTCGCGTATGCGTGGCGCGACGACCACCGCATTTTTAAACATACACAACTACACAAACTATACTTCAAATGGAATAACATGATCTGTCATGTATTAATTTCCTCACAACATACGCCTTAATTCATGCAACACCAAAGCCATACACATACGGAGAATACGAAGCCAGTATTAAAATAATTATGTAACGACGCGACCCCAAGGTGTGTTGACCCAGTTTCTTTTTGTCAGCAGGATTGGAAGCATTACAAACAAGTTTAAGATTATATCAATAAAACCGGTATAAAGTATTTCCTCATTGAGGCTCCAGATTTCGTACATAACAATAGAAAAAACTTCACCTTTAAAGATATATATGATTGTGTAACTGGTAACTGACCACTCTTGGCCAATGCAACTATATCTCTTGTATTAACGATGTTAAAATACAGGAAATGCAATATATATTACCACCGCTCAATATAATATTAAACTGTATATTGAAAAGGTGATACATACAAATGTAAATAATAAATTATAACTCTGTTTACAATCAGTTAATCGATTCAAATGATATGATATACAAATATGAAATACTATAAACAGATTGTTAGTAATACAGATGTATGCTCGCCTCCCAATAGACATTGCGCTTTTTAGCGACGAGGCACATTAATAACGTCAAATGGTAATAAATGTTTGAAAGTAATGTAGTCCAAAACGATTATAATTTTGTTTTGTTGTGTTAGTTGTTTCTTATTTAGACAGGTCATTGTTAATGACACAGTCCCCATTGCAATTAGGGGAAATGTTATTAATCGGAAAATAAAGTAATATGATCGAAAAGCAAGACAACTGAAGTCTGATATTTAGGCATTTTTATATCTAAACTCAAGTAAAGTGCATGTCTCCAGTATTATAAACGTGTGCCAGATTATTTCTTACGGCGTTACCCAACGACACTCTTTCTAACAATGTTAGATAAGAACATTATTGCACTTGCCAATTTAATGAGAACGAAGCATAGTTCAAACATGAACGTGTATCAAATGACTAACATACAATATATGTTTGTGAATATATAATTTTGGGTGTCAGTTAAAGTTTACTCACACCCATAGTGGTAATCTGTTGTCTGAACTAATATGCATCCTTGGAGGAAATCCTGCCATTCATGAATGCAACCAGACTATTCTAAATGATCTATGTACATTTGTTTGTATTTCGAATGTTTTTTTTTACTATGAATACTTAATACAACTTTTGGAAGATAATCCTATAAATAGACTTAGACGTGTGTGATGTATGTGACAAAAATAGTACAAATAATTTATTTTCAATAAAACAAAATGGGTGCCAGTCGGCCATTTTTATGCGATCGCGAAATGAATCTTAACATGTGCAATGTATGTACCGAATTTAACAAAAAAAAACACAAGACAAAGTATACAAGATACCTGACAGTCAACTATCTTTGATCTGATTATAAAACAAACTGATATGGACATGTATTCCATGTATGTGCCAAATATAAATGAAAATTCACATGTAATTAATGTAAACAATATTGTTGATGTAAACGGCCTTTTCACACCCATTTACGTCACAGCTGTGATTTGTCGCTAGATGGCGCAGTGTATTAGATATCAACCCATGCAGCTTCAGTGATGGACACAAAAACCATGACAAAACTCAGACAATACATTACTCCAATCACGCCTTCAAAATACAGTCGCATTTGTTCGTTATTTTATGTAAATGTTGGAAAAATGCTAATTCTCTGGATGTGTAAAATTATGCAATAATTTAAAAATCTTAGTCAAATTGATTGTGACACAATAAACATATATGTTATGAGTTATTAGAACCATTGAACTGATTTAATTCCATTGTTAGCACCAACCCGGAGACCAGAATCCCTCAAAATTAACAGGATTGCAAGCTGGGTCTGCCGGTGGAAAGAATGTCCAAGCAGTCTTGCGGTATTTGTCAAGTTTGTCCATGAGCTGCTTTACAATTATAGGATGGCTTGCTGCAATATTTACTTCTTCATATGGATCAGCTGAAAGCAAAACATTACATAAAAGCAAAACATTACAATATTTATAAACAAGTGTTCTTATTTATCACAGTAACCACGCATAAATGACAAATACTACCTTGGCAGTGAATATATTATGTATTCTTCGTGTATAAAAGTTATGACCCTTACCATCCAGATTAAAGAGATATATGTCTGTTCCGTTCGGCTCTGGGGCTGGTATTTCACT